AAACAATGTTTTTAACATTTAGATAAGCTAAAAATCAATGTCGCTTAGCCAAAAATTCTGAGTGCATCTTTCTATGAAATATATATTTTCTTAAGTGAGAATGTGTGGCAAGTTGGTCACGGATAATTACCCTGTTTTATAAAAAAAAATATTGCAAACAACTGGTCTTGAGAACAGCTTCCACATTTATTTTCTCTGTTCAGCTTTGAAATAGAGTAGATTTGTGGATTATCCGAGATACAAGTTATCCAAATGATTATGGTACAGACCATTGGCGTACAAACACTGGATAAAATTCTGAACCCTGCTGTGTCATTTGGATACAAATCTAGGTAGAACTTATGCATGGTATGACCTTTAAACTTGTTAAAATACTTCATAGCAGAATTCATGCCTTCAAAAGTGACTCAAAATTTCAAACTTGAAACATCAGAAAATAAACAATAACCGCATAATAATACACTGTACAATACTGTACCATTTGTGTATAAAGTAAGAATAGGTTGTATTCAATGTATAAACTTCTTTAGTAACCTCTTTAATCCAACCTTTCCATGGGAGTATCTGGTTATCTGAAAAAATAGGTTAGCCGAACCACCCAATTTGTTTGGATAATCAACATTCTACTGTATTACATGCTTAAACTTATTTACTCAGTTTGATGTCACTCTTCAAAGAAGTGTCTCTCAAATCTCTAACCTTCGCAGAACTTTTGAAACAATATTCACGTCCCAGGTTTGAACCCATACATAAAATATTACATTTCATTATTTCTTTTTCTTTCTCTTTTATTTTTTAAAACCATTCAACTTTTGGCGAACCCCAGTGCTTCAGGGAACACTGATTGAAATACAAATGTTAAATTGTATTAAAAAAGATATGATATTAATAGAGCAGCTGAGTTAAACTGAAACCAGATAAGTTTCAAAACAGTACGCCAATAATTTGTCTATGTAACATTCTGTATCAGAAAGTGAGTTTTTACAAAACCTTATGAATCTTAGGCTACCACGATTGCTCTTTGGTTATGTGGAGTTGTCAATGAGCTGGAGATGTTGGTATAGCAGGGACGTTAGATAGGATGGGAGGTAATTGGGTTAAGGGGTATTAGAAGAGATGGGAGATGATTGCGGGACGTTGTGTCAGATGGGATGGGAGGTAACTGGGGGCAGTGTTGTTAGATGGGATGGGAGGTAACTGGGGGAAGTGGAGTTAGATGGGATGGGAGGTAATTGGGGGAGGTGGTGTTAGATAGGATGGGAGAAAACAGGGGAGTGGGGGAGTGGTGGATCCTTCTTTTATAATAAAAATTGTGTTGGAAACAAACATTAAAGTTTAGTTGTGTGTGTTTATTAACATAAGCATAATGTTACTCATTTTTTAAAATTGTTTACATTCAGTTAGACTTGAGAGAGTTTTGCTAAATTTATTTTTTACCTGTGTTGAAGCAACAGCCAAATAAAAGTAACAAAAATGTCTGGCAAAAAAAAATAGTCTGTCTGATAATGATGTTATTTACAGTGATTTAAAAATAAATGACCTACCATAGGAACTATTTTTTAGAAGTTTCATTCCTGTGAATGTTACCTAAATAATTCTGCATGAGAACTGAATGAATGAAGAATACTTTTTGTCCAGTTCAACATCCATATGGAAAATCTTAAAGTTTATGAGAGAATCTGTTTTACTATGAATATTATGATATGAATATAAAAATAAAGGTGAATATTTAACTATTAAAACATGAAATGTATTATGTGGGAAGATGTTTCGGATATAAGTGGAAGTTCTATTTTTTTAAATTTGAGAATAACTGCTTTAATTATATCTCACCAAGGAAACTATTAATATGGAAATAATCTAATTCCAAAACAATAGGCTTATATTTATCTGATTCATAAAGTGAAATATTAAATTAAGTAATGTTTAAATTTTAATTTGTCGTCACTGCAAATAGAAATCAGTCTCTGGCTATAGATGTTGAACTTATGGATATCAGTCTCTAACTATAGATATTGAACTTATGAATATCAGTCTCTGGCTATAGATGTTGAACTTATGGATATCAGTCTCTAGCTATGGATGTTGAACTTAAGAATGTCAGTACCTAGCTATAGATATTGAACTTATGAATGTCAGTCTCTGGCTATAGATGTTGAACTTATGAATGTCAGTACCTAGCTATAGATTTTGAACTTATGAATGTCAGTCTCTGGCTATAGATGTTGAACTTATGAATGTCAGTCTCTGGCTATAGATGTTAAATTTATGAATGTCAGTCTCTGGCTATAGGTGTTGAACTTATGAATGTCAGTCTCTGGCTATAGATGTTGAACTTATGAATGCGAGTCTCTGGCTATAGATGTTGAACTTATGAATGCCAGTCTCTGGCTATAGATGTTGAACTTATGAATGCCAGTCTCTGGCTATAGATGTTGAACTTATGAATGCCAGTCTCTGGCTATAGATGTTGAACTTATGAATGTCAGTTTCTAGCTATAGATGTTGAACTTATGAATGCCAGTTTCTAGCTATAGATGCTGAACTTATGAATGTCAGTCTCTGGCTATAGATGTTGACCTAATAGATGTCAGTAGCTAGCTAAAGTTGTTGACCTGCACACCTTACAAGATGTGTAACTTTAGGCATTTTGTTTCCCTATTTGATATTTTTGGTTTTCAAGCGACAGGGGTGACCCGGGGGTTACAGACTATTGTAGCCTGCTACCCCCCCCCCCCCAAAAAAAAGAGATATGTTTAGGGCATCACTAAATCCAGCTAGACACATCACTTATAAAGAGATGATGTTTCTCATAACAAGATGTTTCACTTTAGGCATTTTGTTTCCCTATTTGATATTTTTGGTTTTCAAGCGACAGGGGGGACCCGGGGGTTACAGACTATTGTAGCCTGCTACCCCCCCCCCCCCAAAAAAAAGAGATATGTTTAGGGCATCACTAAATCCAGCTAGACACATCACTTATAAAGAGATGATGTTTCTCATTGATGAAGTTCTGTGATTTCATGAAGATCCTTTAGCATGTGTTTCAAGACAAGGTAATGCCATATTTGCTCAAGTTTTCAGTAAAATAACGGGAATTTTTAAAAAAAAATCCGTTTGTTTTAGTCAAGAACATGCGCTCTGAGTGTTTAAAAAATGTCCAAACAAAAGAATAATTGGGGACCAGTTGATGGAGTCTACACAACACAATGCCTGCTAATTGCTGGCCCAAAGATCGTAAAATTACAATAGTCTTTAGGTATAATAATATAATCAACAATAAGCCACATCGATAAAGACATTGAACCATTCGCCGCCAAAAAATGCGGTAGCTAGATCTAGTGACAACCAGTGGCGACGCTACACCAGGTCCCGCCGGGTCCCTGGACCTGGTAAAAAAAACTTGGGACCTGGCAAATGACCTGTTAAATTTTTATTTAGTTACTAATATTGTATATATAATAATTATTACTTAATAAATAAATTTTATTTTTAATACATTTATTTGGGACCCGCCAAATTTTTTTAAGACCTGCAAGGGACCCGCCATGTTAAATTTGATGGCGTCGCCACTGGTGACAACCCAAACATCTCTCTCTCTTTTTTAAATAAGCTAGCTAGATACAGTATAGGCATAGGGTCCTGTGCTAGTAGGGTTATGAAGCCTTCAGTTTTGATCCATACGGAGTGCGCTCTTTTAAAGCTATAGCGCGTAAATTGTGAAACGCTTGCCTGAATCTGTGAGGGAAATTGAAAAAGTCATTTTAGAACCAGTTAAAGACTTTTTTTTCTTTAAATAGATCTCAGGACATCAGAGCATGGACACAAGAGCCGTAAAAGTATTCAATCAACATCATCATCGCTACTGATTCTATGCATGCAGTTTTCTTTTGACCAGATGGGTGGCACACATAACTCGCTTTTAGTTTTAGTGAAAAAATTCCCGAATTAAAATACCCGGACTCTAATCAAAATATCCAGTTTCAAAAACCCTGCACACAACTCAGCACTAATTGGCATCACGACAAAATGTGTTTACGTCAAAAGAACTCATGGTCTAATCATAAATAACGCAAATTGTTCAGAAACCCCTTTTACTTTATAGCAATATTTTCTAACGGTTAAACATTAAAGATTGGGAAAGCGTGGGAGATATGTTATGAAAAAACAAACAAACGAACAACAACAACAACCCCTCCCCCCCCAACCAATCAGAATAAAAAATGCAGTTTCTAGCATCCCGCAACACCCTGACCTGACCCACTCTGCACACAATCAATGCGTTCATCTCAAGTAAACAGCACTCACGTTGACTGTGGACAAAAACGTTGGTTTGAGTGACGTCACAGCGCGGACCATCACAATTTGCTTCAAATATGTAAGAATTAAAAAAAAACAACAACAACAAATAAACAAACAAAACAAAAAAAATAATTTAATTTCAATGCATGGATCATTGCATGGAATAATTAGGCCTAATAAATAGTATCTGCATTATTCAATGGTCATTTGTACATCTAGTTGACATTAAAATCTTGGGCACAATTTTTTTTGGGATAAAGCCTAGCATTTTACTGTTCATATTTTACCCCCTCTCTCTTTGTCTCCCTCTGTCTCTTTCTCTCTTTGATTTAGTGTTGGAAACGCCGCTGCAAATGTCATTACAAAATTTGAGCAAAACCAATGGCTCGCACCTACACTGAGCCATAAGAGTCAATAAAAAAAAGTGTTGTTGTGAATGTCAGAAAAAATTGATTTTTAATAAAATGAAACTTAACTACATACTGCTCTCATAAAAACATTATTAATTACAAACATCTCTAAAAAATCCCCCCCCCCACCCCCCCCCAAAAAAAAAATTTAATGCAACATGGTAATCATTTTGAATCGTTTTCTTATTTTGATTTCGACGTAGAAATTATAATTACACGCACTAATAATAAAACCAATAATAAAACTAACAAAAAATATGACTTGGTAAACACGACCAGTGATTTATTTCAAATACCCTCTAAAACATCTCGCTTCTTGCGATAACAAGCCACGACGTTGAACAAACAGGCGGTGCTGTAGAAATGCCTTTTCTCGTTGGATAAGGCCCGTCTCTCGTTCTCGATTTCATCAAGTTTTACAGTAATGCTTTCCTCAACATCCCGGAGGATTTCGATCTGCCTCACTATCTCTTCTATGATCTGCCTTTCACTTAGATTGTTCCGCGTACCTTCGATCTGTTGACAATAGTATTATTTTGATGAGTATGGAATGTCAGAGACGGGAGACACATTTCGCCAACCATGCTCGACACATATTTTGATACCTTATGTATGAGAGTATGTTCTTTATCTTGGTCACTCCTATCAGAGGCGTAGCTAGAGCGTTTGGCGTCCGGGGACAAGATTCATTTTAAAGCGCCCCACTTGCCTTTTTCATCTCTCAAATCCAATATTTTCATCAATAAAATTATATCAAATCACATTTTGGCGCCCCTAACTTGTCTGGCGCCCGGGAAATCTTCCCCCCCCCTCCTGCCCCCTTAGCGACACCTCTGACTCCTATTAAATTGAACATTTAATTCAGGGACTCTTAAAGATACGATAAGATACAATTCTTTTATTGATCCAAAGAAATATACAATGTTTTTTGTTTTTGGATTACTTTGTAGGCCTACATATTCATTTTCAGCACATTAATCAATATATATATATATTCGTAACCAAGACAACATTTTAAGATAATAAAACAATTAGACAGCTAAAATATTTCTCTAGCCTAGAAATCAACCATCAGTGAACTCCTTCAGTGACAACAATGACTTAAATAGTGATCATTTAGATTTGGTGACCGAGGGGGAAGAGCTCGGTGGTAAATTGGTACAGACCGCAAAGAAAATAATTTTTATATATTTCAGTCCGAAAGAATTCGCCCGATCTTAGGTATACATCTGGGATAAAGGGGGTGGGGTGTATCCCATAGGCGCCCGAAGCAATTTTCTCAAAAGTGGGGGGGGGGGTGGGAAAAACAAACTCCAGCCTCATCCTGGTAATATCATACGAAAGAATTCGCCCGATCTTAGGTATACATCTGGGATAAAGGGGGTGGGGTGTATCCCATAGGCGCCCGAAGCAATTTTCTCAAAAGTGGGGGGGGGGTGGGTAAAACAAACTCCAGACTCATACTGGTAATATCATATATAAATAAATGTCGCTCCAGGGCAAGGGTCGTGTGAGGTGACTACCCTTCTCCCACCCCACTCATAGACATAAAGTCATTCCAATAGTGGTGCCCCCATGAGAGCACGCCTCTGCCCTATAGTATTTTAACCCATGGAATCTATATGTAGCTCAACTATATTTATATTTAAAAAAAAAACTTAAAGTAAAATAATTTTTTATCAGTTCACGCATATCATTTTATTACCGACATTGTGTTGGGGTAGGCCCTGTCACTGTGTTGGGGTAGACATTGTCACTGTGTTGGGGTAGGCACTGTCACTATGTTGGGGTAGGCCCTGTCACTGTGTTGGGGTAGACATTGTCACTGTGTTGGGGTAGGCACTGTCACTATGTTGGGGTAGGCCCTGTCACTGTGTTGGGGTAGACATTGTCACTGTGCTGGGGTAGGCACTGTCACTGTGTTGGGGTAGGCCCTGTCACTGTGCTGGGGTAGGCACTGTCACTGTGTTGGGGTAGGCCCTGTCACTGTGCTGGGGTAGGCATTGTCACTGTGTTGGGGTAGGCCCTGTCACTGTGTTGGGGTAGGCATTGTCACTGTGCTGGGGTAGGCATTGTCACTGTGTTGGGGTAGGCATTGTCACTGTGTTGGGGTAGGCATTGTCACTGTGTTGGGGTAGGCACTATCACTGTTTTTGGAGTGGGGAAAAGAAACTGGATGTGGAATGGGGGGGGGAGGCAGTTCAGGGGACATTTTTGCGCATACCTGACTTGAGTATTGCGCACCATCCTACACGTCATCGTCAGGAAACAAAATATGTGCTGGTGACCTTAGCGAACTTAGTTGACCCTTGACCTGGTAGTTTTTGTACTTAGTTGGTATCAAATAGTGTTGTTGTTGTTGTTGGTGTTGTTGTTGTGGTTGTGGTTGTTGTTGTTTTATAACATTCTAATTCAAACTATTGATTATTTTTTTTACAATAATTGATTAATAAATGCATTAAAATATTTTTGTTGAAAATTTTTGTTGCCTCCCTCCCAAAAAAAAAAAAAAAAAAAAAAAAAAAACTGCTAGCATCATGAAACGTGTTGAATAAAACAGAAACAGTGCTAAAAGTATCATAATTAGGCCTACCTTCTTCCATTATTTTAAATATTTTAAAGTTTTACAGATAAAAAAAAGTAATCAACTATTGTTTTGTGGAAAAGAGCTATCTATTTTTATGGCTACTTAAAAGTGGTCATTGTCTATACATTGTATCAATATATAATAATTATGTTAAAAAGCAAGATATATTAACATAAAAGCGTCATATGTTTATTAATGCATGATTTATCTGAGGGAAGTTAAAGTAATTTAAAAAAAAAATAAATAATTAATTTAAAATTAAAAGGTTTCTTTGGACTATTAACTTTGTGCAGGTAAATTACAAATTAGTGTTCTATCACACCTGTTTCACCCCCCACCACCCCCCCCCCCAATGCCCCGTGTGCCCATGTCTTAAAACGTTACTACCTCAATCCTCTCAATTAAAAACAAAAAATAATCTGCTCCCCTATCTCCATTGTAAAGCATATTTCCCATACGCCTACTAGAAAAAAATCCAAATAAATTATGATTTTACGGGATTTCCCGCACTCCTTGNTACAAATTAGTGTTCTATCACACCTGTTTCCCCCCCCCCCCCCCCCCCCCCCAATGCCCCGTGTGCCCATGTCTTAAAACGTTACTACCTCAATCCTCTCAATTAAAAACAAAAAATAATCTGCTCCCCTATCTCCATTGTAAAGCATATTTCCCATACGCCTACTAGAAAAAAATCCAAATAAATTATGATTTTACGGGATTTCCCGCACTCCTTGACACAGCCCCCCCCACCCCCGTTTAAGAACCCCTGGTTTGTTTCTAGACCTTACTATAAAGGATCCATTAAAAAAAAAGAGCCTTCAAAAATTGTAGGATTATAGAATATAGACTACAAAAAATACGTAAACTATTTTTAGAAAACATAGTTAACTATTCTGTTTTTTATTTTTTAAAAACTACAAACACAAGCAATAAAGTAGAGTACCTCTTGCTTCAAGCTAGCGTCCTCCACGTCTGCACTTGCCGTCTTCCACAAGAGAAGAGAGCATGTGATGAACATCAACAACACTGGATGCTTTGGTGACGTCACACCGTGCCGCGCGGCCATCTTTTGCTCCAGTGCTATATTTATCTACACGTTTTGTTTTGTTTGTTAAATAGATTATTCTCAATAGTGTTTGTACAAACACATTTGAATCTAAGCTACATTTATCAAACTTTAAACCTCGGTCTTGCGTGAATAGCAGAGAAAAAAAATGTTTGTTAAAAAATTATGAATTTTTAAATTCCGGAGACTTCTTAAAACTCTGTGGAGATTCACAGAACGAGCCGACATGCAAATTTCCCGGACAACTGATCGCGGACTTGAGATTTGGTCAGTTTTACTTTGAGTTTTGAGTGACGGCTATCGATTTCCGAGTGTGTGTTGGTTGCGCAGCGTGGTGTCAGTGATTGACGTCAAGACTGACATTGGCTAATGACATTGTCACGGATCAACCTTTCATCACCAAGTTTGTATTTATCTTTCCGACTCATTCAGTTCGAAATGCGACGGGTTTTATTCTAAGAAAGTTAAAGTAAAGTGGAAAGATTTAAAAAAAAACAAAAAACGAACCAATTATCTAACACGCTGATTTCCTTTTAGCATTGTCTCGTTTCTTTTGGCACATGTGTTTTTAATTTTCTAATTTAGCCCCTTGATCCAAATTGAGTGTTTGTAAAATGAATAATGGAAAAAAAAAATCTTCATGGAAATTTTATTGAAATTATGCGAGTTAACGTTAAGACAGGTCATGCAGTAGGTTGTGTCTCTGGAGATGACATCATGGGAAAAGTTATGCTGACTGGTTGATGATTTGAAGACAAACTGTGTTTAAATGTACTGCATTTCCTTTCCTTTGGTGGTTGTCTCACGCCACACTGTCATTGTTGGTCAGCCAAATAAGAATCTTTGTTTCAGGAGGAAAGCCGTGTTGCGGGCATTTTGTTTCCACGTGACATGTGTAGCCAGGGTAAGTCGTTTGGTTGCAGGAGAAAGTTAACTTGTCTATGAAAATAGATGTTTATTTAATTTTTTTGGGGTAAGGGGTAGTACAATTTTTTTGAGGGGGGTGGGGGGGGGTGAAAGTTATCTTTTAAAATTTCTTTAACAGCAATGAGAGTCCCAAGCGAATATATATATATATATATATATATATATAAAAAACTCTCCTGTACTTTATATATATT